CCACCGCCATGACGATCGAGGGCACCCCCACCCAGACGGGGACCACCTGCAACATGCCGAGGGCTACGGCCACCAAAGCCGCCCACAAAGGCCGTAGTCACAATGGGAGCAAGCAAGCTGGATTGCGCCGATCAACACGACCATGAGGAGCATGGTGGCTCCACCATGACATATGAGTATCGTCAGAACAAGAAGCATACCAACATAATAAAAATGTATCTTCCCCTAAACTTGGGAAGATTCATTGCCACTTGTTTGAAACGGAAAAAGCGCGGCCCAATGTGGTGGTACCAGCCAATCCACTGCCGATTGAAGGATCCGACTCCGCCATTCTGTTCGCAGCATATCAAAACCCCCGAAAAGCACCTTCACTCGCCCGTTTCTGTCAAGAAACGGACGAGATAGTCATTCTTTTTCCCGCCATATCCAGTCTCCCGTCACCTCCGTGCACTAGTATTCTTCTTTTAACACATCTCCTCCTAACCTTCTTTCCCATCTGACTACAGATTTGGGTTCGCCCACCCTCAAGATCCCAAGTTAGCAGTTTATTCTGCCAAGATCCATCAAGGAATGACAAATCAGACTAGTTTTCCCTTTCTCCCTCCATGTCTACTTTCCTTCGGCGCCGTGTCCTTCCCTTTCCCTTCTTCTTCCTCACTACTCCACGAGCCTCTCCCGCCAGCCAGAGTACACCCAGATGGTACTGCACGGTCCAGCAGTCTCGAGCATCCTACTGAAAGTAAATCTTGATCCCGGGACCTCTCTGTCTTATATAGCCCAGTATGATATGTCTGCCCAACTCACCCGTGCCGTACTCAAGGACACTACTATTTTTCTTTTTATTTCTTCATGCCCCAGTTCGAATGAATCTGCCCAAATCTGGGAACYAAATCCATCCAGCCCAAGRAACTATAGTGYAGCTCTTAAAAAGAGAAATGGGGCTGATAAATAATAATAAWAATCCTAACTAAAAAATGTTGGACTTGGTGTGGCAACACCTTCGTGGACTCTTTCTTCATATCGAGCTTTGATTTACACCCCCACAGCCCATGAGTGTGCCAATGGGACTGGGCTTGTTGGTAAAGGCTAGTATGTTGCAGCTTCCACCAGGATCCCTCCCGTCTGTTGTGCTCAGCCGTAGCTCCCCTACTACTGCCCCCAGCAGTCATGCTCCCCCTGCAGGCCTTGCTAACTTATACCTTTTGTTTGGCTGGTCGACCACAACCTCGGAACAACCCAAACTGAAYGCACCTCCCCTGAATCTATACCAGATTCACTAGTGGGGAACTTTGCACAGTGGCCACGCCTGTCTTCTCTATATCGCTCCAATTTTAACAGATGTCCCGAAGGACTGTTTCACGGTAGTGGTATCCCAGCGGTTCGTGGGTGTATCCACCGAACTAGGCTGCTGGGCTTCACTGCGGATCCTAGTACCGGTACCGGGCCTCGTCCCCAAAAAAAATATAAAAATAGGAAAAATAAAAATAAGGATTTGAAACCTCAGGGATAAAAAAATACTAAAGAAAAAAACGGATGGGGGAGGAGGACCGTTGGTACTTGGTCCTACCCCTCGGGTCCGTGATCGGATCCCCCTAGCAAAACTAAGGGGGATAGTCCCGTGGGACCCTCAACCCCTCAGTTTCCTCCAAGCTGTGCTCCTCCGCTCCTTCCACCGCTTGCTGCTGGCCTCGATCTCGGGATCCGCCTGGTAACAGTCCAGTGATGTAACCTATAGGGCTAAGCCCCAGCCTGGTTACAGCAGGCCCAGTTCTGTTATATGAAGAGTAACTGCAGTCCCGCCCAGGCCCGCAAGGGTGTGCCAAGGCCACCGCTTGGCTTAGCCCTCAAGCCCATGATTTTGTGATGACGTGTTCCGCTGCCTCAAGGGCAGGCGTTGGTTGGCTCACCACGTGCATTACCCCTTCATGCCGCGGTCGCGGCCCAAGGCTCTCATAGCCTGCCGCGACCGGCCCTTTTATTGCAGCCTTGCCGAAAAACCCTCGGCTCTCGCTCCTACTAAATCCTGTTCGCACTTCCTCCCTCGGACCTCTCTGATGAGTCCAAACACTGGTAATACCCCGTCACCTTAGTGTGTTGCACACTATGCGACCTCAACAACTGCCGCCCATAAGACCTGGCTTTGTCCACGACTGTCAACCTCCCGCATTTACCACGTGGAGGTCACCGCTTGCGTTTCATTTTCTCTCGCACACCCCAATCACTGCCCAAAGTAACACCACTTCCGATGACGCATGCCGTACGAATGCGGATGTACCATGGTCACTTTAACATAATGAACAACCTTTCCTAGTTTTAATCAAGGCCAAAATTTTTGCCAACGAAAGTGCTGATCCCATAGCATCAAAAAAAATCATCACGCGAACCTAAAAACTGTGCGCCCACACACACTTTGCTCTCCGTCAACCATTCAGTCAACGCGAACAAAACACAACTGCAACTCCGCACGGTATACTCAGATTCTGAACAAACCTTACCTTCTGTCACTTGCAAAAACTAGGGCGGATACCCTTACAACGGTATTCGCGCCGACAACACCTATTCGATTTCGCGTCGGAAAGTTATGGGTTGGATACCGAGGGGCTAGGAGCGTTGTCGCGTTATTTGTGGTGTGTTGTTTCGTACGTGTATGTATGCGCGCGTTTTATTTTTGGTGTTTGTTATAGTGGTGTGCGCGCGGTGTGTAGGATGCGTCCTAGTCGACCGACGACGGGCCGCGCCTGGGACTTCAGCCCCCAAGATGCCGGTTCGCGTACGGGTCCGACAGAGGCGTATTACCGCGCGTACCCCCTATGCTACAGCGAACGAGAAATGCCCTCGGCTGGTCCACCTATGCGATTGCAACTGATTAACTTTCGTACTGTGGACTGGTAGCTCGGCGGGGATACGCCCACCGAAGGGAGTTGACATCTCCCGTAAGGTGTAGGTAAGTCGTGCCTCGCGTAGGCCCTATCCTGTCGTAGGGGCTCGCGAGAGGTATGGCTGGCGCACTCGGCCGGAGCGGCTTAAGGAAGCTCCATGTATATTGCGACGAAGGATTTAAATCCAACTCCTGCGTGACGCGGCCGGGAGGGTCCCGCGCTGCCCTGGTGCGGTGCTGGACCGATGCGCTCGACAACGGGATGACACCCAATGCCATGGCGCAACAGAATTGCACCGTGGATTCCGATAATGACGCACAATCGGGTAGATCCATCACTTGTTGCATCAACTGCCTCTGCCTGCGAACGAACAATCTCATCCTCAGGGGAGTTGTCGTTCTTTCAATGCGATAACACATGGCGACGACTGACACAACTGCGACCACCGTGTTTCGCTCCAATGCCGTAAAGGCCTTCGCACCACTCGGGAGCTCTCGTTCCATCGTCAAGACTTGTAATGCGCAAACACCCACCACTCGCTCGCCCGCCGGTGCCCTTGCCGCACCTTCTGCACGTCGATGGGGACCGCGCTCGCACTCTCCAGGTTTCACGGAAGCGTTACGTTCACGCTAAGCTGTGATGGCCCGAAGAGCATGCAGAACAGGAAGGCGATGTCGCAGTAGAGAACCGTTACGCATACACGCTACGTCACCCAATGTTCCAATGTCATCACTCCTCCGCACAGACGTTTCGCCCCCGTCTCCAGTCCAGCCGCCAGGACGCCTCACGCACTGATGTGTCAGAGGGTTCGGAATTTGAAATTGGAACGGGGATATTGGCGCCCTTTTTTTCATCAGCCCTCTAGGCCTCCCCGCCGCCGCCACTGGACCACGCCCGAGGAGGCGTGGACATCCCAGCACGATGACATCCACCCCTGCGGCCGGGTGTATGCGTATGAATTGGCCGCTGGAGACCTCCAAGGGTTTTCATTGGGACCCATTGAATTAGGGCGCGGTGTAACCACGACTCCCAAAACCGGAAAATTTTCCAAGGACTTCATCCTAATTCCTGAGGATTTTCCAAGGAGGGTCTAACGAGGCGATTACGCCACGCAGGGTATCCGGGCACCCTACGAACGAAATTTTGTGTGCATCCACTCGATGTCGTGGACAACACAAGATCGACGGAAAGGCTATCGAAGTCCCAATCCGGTTTCGAAAGCACGATGATGTGGATGTCCGGACGGGGACAAGTGAGTGTTGCGCCCATATTCTGGTTGAAAATTATGGCGCGTCGGTCTTGGCGGATTTGAATCGAACTCCGGCGGTGTCGAGGGGGCTAGAGGAGTAGGAGGACGCGGAGGGAGAGGACTGAAAGGAGGGAGAGGGGGAGAGGGGGAGAGGGGAAGAGGGTGTCTAAAGGAGTGGGAAGAAGAGAGAGAGGAGCAGAGAAACGGAGTCGGAAGAAGAATACGAGCAATAAAAAGTTATCTTCATTCAGTTGTGCATTAATGAAAAAAGGCAAATCATGACGGCGAGGCCTCAGATTTCAGATGAATCGTTAAGCCAGCAGACCATAAGTGTTGTTCCCTTGAAGTGGCTGAACAGAGCAGGGTGATCGGAGAGGGGTGGGAAGAGTGAGAGGTACTCTCCTTGAATGATAAGCGTGTGATGGTTGGGTTGCACCCGCAAATCAGACTTTCATCTTCTTCATCCTCTCTCTCTCTCTCTCTCTCTCTCTCTCTCTCTCTCTCTCTCTCTCTCTCTCTCTCTCCGTGTGTGTTTGTCTGT